ACCATCTTCATAAATCCTCCCCCCTTTCCCCCCATTTTTCCTATCACTTCTACGGAGTGGTTCCCCACATTTCCGATAAGTAGCCCACTTAAACATAATAGAGAGAACGACAACAGAAAACCGCTTTCACAGAGGATAATACGACCCCACTTCCCTCTAGCGACTAAATATGACCTCTTTCGTAGAGATCTTCAGCGAATGACGTGCCCTAATTGGAGCTTAAAAGTGAATGTCAAATTTTTAGTGCCGACCTATGAGAAATCTTGTTCCTATCGACCTTCCCTTTTATGACTGTCACCAAACATTGCTGGAGCCTATGGAATTGCCAGCAGTGATTTCCGGTGTGAAATCGCCATGCAAGGTAATTTTGTATGTGATTTGTAAGATACGCGCTAATCTACCGATTTTAAGCAATCATATACATTCATTGTGCCCCGAGAACGTTTTTCAAACTGGTCTCAATCGGCTCCGTTGCCAAGGTTTGAGGTTCAGCTCAGGTGGGTGATTGTTTTGTTATGCTGTTATGGAATGATGTACTTGAATTATTGGATTATCACATGATAATTTCAGGTTCTTCCAAGTGCCTGTCGGTTACAACTCACAAGAGTTAGCTGACGATTTTCCCCTTAACTGCATGGTTCGTTTAGAAGAGCAAATTGTACAGTTACCGGTACGTTACCTTTACCAACACTTTGCTTATTTGCACTTTCAGTAGTCTTCTCGCTGTTCTGAAAGGGTGACTGTAAGGTTAATGTTTGAAGCAATACCATCCAGTAGAGCCTTGTTTATAGGCGGTGATACCAACGAATAAACCTAATGTTGAACCAAAGCGACCGTCTCGACCGGTTGATATCACGCAGCACTGTTTGAATGTGCGGGATCCCTCTAGGCCGTTGCGGCTACTGATAGAATGGACCGGTGATGTGTACTTGTGTGTTTGTATTTGAATTTTTTTAATTAAAAGTGCGTGATTAGGATAAGCGCTGCGCCATCCATAAGATTATTCAAATTTGAAGGTCTTTGTTGTTCAGGTCTATCGTGTAACTTCCGATATTCTTCGAGATCGAGCTATTGGAACTTACACTGGTCCCACGTATGGTAATAAAGAGCCCGTGGTATGTTTTTTTTTACTATATTCTCGTAATCTTCTTAGAAGGATACTATTTGGCTCAGGTTTTTTTTCGTGTATGCCTTCTATGTACGCCTTCAGAATCATCACCAAGGTGAACATGTCACCAGGGACGTGATCAGAGCCCGACTGGGCGGTGGAAACGATGACGATATAGCTATGGCGCAATTAAAGATCAGCCTATTGTGCCCGGTGAGTTAAAACTCAGTTACAGAGTGAAAGACGGCACAGTCTGCCGACGGGGGGGGGGCATTTTGCACTTTCGTTGCTTCACTTGTTTACAAGTCTCACTCTGGTGAAACCTGTGAACTCTTGTGAAGCTGGAGCAAGCTCGTCAAGCCATCATGGTAAAACCTGTCAACTCGAGAAGAGGCTGTCTAGATGGGTCGACACGTCGATGGGAAGTCGTTAAAGTGCAAAATGCCCCCCCCTTCCCGTCGCCAAACAGCGCTGAAAGACAAACTCCGCGATTGCATATGATGGGTGGTTGCGTTCAATTTGCTCGCTGACTCTTCAGGGGAGAAGGAAGCAAAAAAAAATGAGCAACATCCTAATTAGGGACCTGAGAGCTTCTTTGTCCGAGTCCTCCGAACTCGCTCCTCATGCCAGCAAAGCGATATCTTGCAGCCTTTGGTTCACTAATCGTTCCTTTGCCCCAACGAATGCTAATACCATCTAGCAGTAAAAAAACTGTTCAAAAAGTGGAACGGTAACAGAAATTGCCTTTGAGTTCCGATGTTTGGGACAATTAGGGAGGCTTCAAAACTGCCGCCTATGAAGGCCGCAGAGTCTTCCTTACTCACCATGAAGCCGCGAAAAAGGAATAACTGACTTCATAGACTGTAGACTACCTTACTTGTGCAAGGACACCTTCAAACTGCTCGAGCGAGAGGGCTGTCTTCGATCGTTGCCCAACTGTATATTCTTCGACCGCGATGACGAATAGTTTCCTATTATAGCAGCCGCTGAGAACCTCCTCCTGCTTATGGAGGGGCATCCCAGGAATGCCTTACCTTAGCTCTTTCGTGTACACTGTCTCTCATGCGACGTAAATTT